TGAACAATTTTTTACACGTTTTTTAATCGTTTTATAAATTGATGCATAATTTCCTTGATATAACGGCAAATCATGGAAATAAAAGTGCAAACATATTTTTTCTCGGACTTTCGTTACATTCCACTGACTAATTCTGACGAAAACGTTACTCAATGGAGAAAATTGTTAGTCAGTGTAACGCTAAAGCTGTATTCACAACGAACAGCGTTCCGTCAGATCACATAATATTTTATTGCGTTATTAAAATAGACACAAAATCATGAAAACTAGCAACTGTTTTGAATTGGATTTGATATTTATGTTTTTGTCAGTGTTGCCAACGTAGGCGATTTTTCGCCATTTAGGCTACTCAGAACAAAAATAGGCGACGAAAAACTCTAAAAGGCGACTGGTCGCCTATTAGGCTACTTCAGGGACAAGTTATTTAAATCAGGCGAATCGCGCACATTTAAGAAAAATAAATGTTCACGCAAATGTAAATGTTTGTGTCTGTAATGTAGGTACAATTTGATATTGACATGGTCACCCTATTTGTTTATAATCCGTTCGTTTCGGGGAATACCCTGAATTTGTCTTAGCGCTTATGTAAAAAATTTAGTACGCATTAAAGTGATGTGTATTCTTATTGTGAATAATGATTACCGCAATTATCTGTATTATATTGAATAAATAGTTCAGAGAAATTCCAGTTATTTTTTGTCACTTTCGCTTTGTAACTTCTCCTGTGCGATTATCTAATAAGGAAGGTTTTAAACAGTCGGTGGAAACACACAACCTTTTATATGCTCGAATGGTGGCCGATGGGGATTCCAGCACCTTCAAAAAAATTTCAGAAGCGCGCGTGTACCCAAATTTTAGCGTTGAAAAAATTGATTGCCGTAATCACATATTCAGGAATATGTGCAACAAATTAAAGGCCATATCCACTGACACCAAATTTCCTTTGCAATTTAGGAAAAAAATTACAACAGAAAGAATATTGGCAGTAAGAAAAGTGATAAACTGTGCAATCAAGAAGCACAAAATAGACAACATAAAATCAACAATCTTTACGTTGATATAATGAATTCAATGAATCATGCCTTTGGAGATCACATATCCTGTAAAGATTATTATTGCCAGAGCTGCCGTGCCAGTGAAGACCTTACGTTGACTCTAAAAACTTGTTCGATTTGGTTTAGGATCAAAACAATCGTAACTGCCGTGGCTGCCAAATCTCGCAGCCTAATCAACGATGCCGACAGCAACCGTGTAGAATGCTTCAATAGCATAGTTGCGAAATTCGTAGGCGGTAAACGTGTCAACTTTTCTTTGAAACGAGCATACAAAGCTCGTTGTGCAGCCGCTGTTGTTGCCTTTAATACAAAAAAACGGCTTTATAATTTGCAGAAAAGTATGTTAGGCAGAAGTCCAAGTACGAAAGTAAAGACTTGAATCTCGAAGGGCAAATCGTTGCAAAAACATAAATAATAAAAAGAAAAGTAAGAGACGCCTTTTTCCTAAGTCCAACTTGAATAGGCACTATGGTGATAACTGCCAAAACCCGACATGCCCGAAGATGTTTTAGAAAAATGTAAAGAGCAATTCCTCAACGGTTTGGAAAGAACTAGTGAAGAAAAAGCGATAGTTCAAAGAAATACCATTTTGCAAAGGGATTAGAGTGAATGGTTGGAGTTGCATCGCAGTCTCATCACTGCTTCAAACTTTGGTAGAATAATAAAAAGAAGAGATAATACGAGCGCTAAAAACCTTGTCAAAGACATATTATATAAAAAAGAATTAAATCATGTCTCGTCGGTGCAGCACGGCATTGCTAATGAAAAAATTGCCATAGAGCAATTAGAAAAACAAATTGGTCAGAAAATTTCTCCTTGCGGTCTCTTTATAGATAATGTAATACATTTTTTAGGAGCTACCCCTGATGGTCTGATAGGAGAAGACACAATAGTCGAAATTAAATGTCCAATTTCCGCCTATCGAACTAGTCTGGAGGAAGCTATTGCGACCAAAAAAGTTATGTTTTGGAAAAAGTCTGGCGCGGTGCTCACGATGAATCAGAATCACCCCTGGAATATACAAGTCCAAGGCCAATTACATGTCACTGGGAGAAATAAATGCATTTTTACGGTATGGTCTGGTATTCATCAAGATTTAAAAGTTGAAGAAATATTACGGGACGACATATTTTGGGATATGAAAATTAAGGAAAAATTGATTTCTTTTAAAAAAAATAAATTGTTACCAGAATTGTGTGATCCAAGACATACTCGGAATAAGATTATTCGAGATTAGTAAAAAAATCAAATCTAAGTATAATACTACCGTTTTCTACCCCGAAGGGAGGAAAACGATTATTTCAGGTCTTGCCGAGGCTTGACCTTTCGGAGATTAGCTTTCATCCCTACAGCACACAAAAGTCCCTTACCTACGTAGTTTCATCTATGAATGAGTGGAGCCGCAGCGACGCGGGTCCAAGGCGCGGGGGGGCGGCGGCGACGGGTCCCGTCGCGCCGCGCTCTTCCCGCGTGTTCCTTAGTACGCTGTTATTCACCATACAGTGCGCACGATTTTCTTAGGAACCTACCTAACGTTGTTGTAACGTTCGTTAAAGTTTTTGTGTTATTACCTTGAGTGATAAGTGCATCATATCGCTGGACAGGGTAAGTTTATTTAATTTTTTAGTTTTGTCTATGAGAATTATGAGTGGCATGGACGTATTCATTTACGTAAACCTAAATTGTGAAGGGGTATTCGTGCTTTACACATACTCTGCCCATGCAATGGTGTTATTTGTTTTGTTATGTGTTTTATTTAATACTAGCTTTATAGCAATGTTTGTGGAGCAACCGCTTGTTATTTTTTGGCTAAGTATTTTACTATTGTCTTTACTAGTCGCAGCCAAGCAGCTCACTAGTGCCAGACACATTATAGCTCACACTGCCTACCTTTTCTGGCCGCAGCCATTCAGCTCACCATCGGTAGTCGCATGACTTAAAGGCAGGCGTACGACTCATGAGTCGCAGCCGTATGGCTCGTGAGCCGCAGCCGTTCGGCTCGTGATCCGCAGCCGTTCGGCTCGTGACCGGCAGCTCCCATTACTCGATTTTATAGATGCCAAAGATGAAATCCAACAAGTACTTTCACGATACCGAAAAAGAGCTATATATGCCCGGAATGCATCTGCGCTTTCCTCATACAATACATCGATACCACAGTCCTACATATCGTCATCGTCACCAGGACCAAGTGTGCCATTCCCACTACCTACAGGAACAGTTTCTGTGCAGCAGCCAGTTATTGAACAATCACTAAATCCTTCTTATGAGACTGTCAACTTTACAGAAACAGTTTCCGTGCAGCAGCCAGTTCAATCAGTTATTAAACAATCACCAAATGCATCATACGTGGTTAACAACTTTTCTGATCCAATAGTCAGAGCGATGATAAATGCTAATATGAATAATATGCAATAATCTTTCATCAACAGCCTATAAATGCCCACTGCTGAGCAAAGCCTCTTCTCACACGCACTATGCGCAATTATCTTTACTTTGTATTAATGTTTGCTTAGTTAGTAATTTTAGATGGTTTAATTTGTCCTCTGTTTTTTTTTATAAATGAGTGAGTCACAAGTCATGTATAATTGAGTTAAGTACTTTTACAGTATTTACCTACTCATAAAGTTTTTACACTTCTACTTACTTGAAAATGTTCGTCCAAAGCCTCAGAAATAGCGTCACAAACTTCTGGTATAAAATTTGATATAGAAGATTTAGAAATCCTGAAAAATATTGGTAGCAGTCTGTATGATATTCCTGAGCTTAGGAAACACAAGGTTACTTCCAACTTTACTCTTGCTGCTATAGCATCTCTCATCAATGTGTCTTGACGTTCTGTTTTTGGTTTTATCAAATCTAAAAGTCTTTCGACTTGTTCAGGTGTCACTCTCATCACTGCTTTATATTCACGGGGGTTTTCATGACAAAGCTCGTTAAAAATGGTAAGTGTTGCTCCTGAGGATCTTCTAGCCATCCATTTTCTTATCCAAATCCTTTTCTTTCGCTCTTTTTTATTGAGTTTTTGCAGACATTTTTCTAATTCTTCACATAATATTGTTGTCATAGAGCGTATCACAGTTTGTTTTATCAAAGCACGTTCACTCGACATCGCGGCGACTCGCAAGACTGGGCTGCAGCTAGGTGTCGTGTAGACAGCAAAGGCGAGCCGAGCTACTGGCGTACGAGTAGACAAGCCGAGTACCTGTCTACTCGCTAGGCAGCAGCTCGCACTATGTAAACTAGCCATAAGGGACTTAGGGCGTGACAGTTCCTCTGAAGATTGCGCATCATCTAATGAAGGTGATGACCTTCCTGCAGCGTCAAGATCTGAGTCACCCGGCTATTTGCATGCGCCACCGTTAGATTCTGATCTAGGTTTAATCTCTGCTCAACAAAGCTGGCCAGAATTGGAGTTTCTCCCTGCAGTAAAGGAGGCAGAACCCGCGATTCCAGCACCGTCGGAACATATAAAAGCAGAGGGCATCGCCTGTCAAAGATTTGGGACGGAGGCATGGAATCGCATAGGATATAAAGACGTAGCTAAATGATTGCAGGCATCACCTGTTTTTAGCACTCTAAAGATTAATGCTGAGTTGAGTGATATTGGAATACAAACTTCAAGGCTCCTCACCAAGCAAGATGGAGTTCTTGTCACGATTGTCCATGGCCTCCTCTGCCAGAGAAAGGCGTTAGCCGAAGAGCTTAAGAACCTTGCAGCGAAATTCCCAGCAACTGCGGCAGCTTTAAAAACCTTATTGTCAGAGGGTTCTGAGTTTAAGGCAACGTCAGACGATCTATTGCAGTTTGTTTGTGCATATCGGGCGGAAACGATCGATCTGAGACGGAAGTCTTTTAAAACAAATAGTGATGCTCTTTCGTCTATTCTGCAGCAGATACCGCCATTGTTTCAGGAGGATAAGCTATCTCTTTTCGTGACGGACAATGGTGGTACGTCTCGCATTTTTCCGTCCCGTTTTTGGAAATTTCCGGAGAAAACGAAGCGGCTTTTTCAGCAGCCTCAAAAAAGCCGCCAAACACTCCCAGGTCGTACGCAGAAGGCCAAAAACCCCGCATGGCATTTCCGGCCATCTCAAACCGCAAACCAAAAGCGGAGGCAATCGGTTGGTAAGGCGAAGAGAGGCGATAAGGAACAGCGGCAACAGCGTCATAAATATTGACGGGGGGGTTCAGAGGGGGGCAGCTCAAGAATTACGAGCAGCAGTGGCGTTTACTGGGAGCCCCAGCGTCCGTCTTAAAGATAATAACAAACTATGCACTGCCCTTTGCAAAAAAACCCCCTTCTGTTCCTTTAACTCCAAAGATGATGTCAGACTTTTCGACAAGACCCTCAAAACTAATGTTAAAAGAGATATCGACACTATTTAATCAAGGCGTAGTCGAAAGATCAATGGCCAAAACTAGATTTCTAACAAGGATGTTCCTAATACCCAAACAGAATGGCAAGGTACGGCAAATTTTCGACCTTCGTGGACTAAACCTTTTCTTGAATTCAAGAAAGTTTCGTCTGGTAAATCAGAACTATGTTCCTAAATTCTTGAAGAAGAACGACTACATGGGAAAGATAGACATCTCTCAAGCATATTTCCACATCCCGATAAGAGAGAGTCATCGGCGCTATCTCGCTTTTACCTGCCAAAACCAACTTTACCAAATGACCTCGCTGCCCTTCGGTCTGTCAAGCGCTCCGTGGGTCTTTTCTCGAATAAGCAAATGGGTAGCGAGCATGCTAAGAGGCCGAGGCTTTCGGGTACTGGTATATCTCGACGACTTTTTATTTGCTCATCAAGACCCTCAAATACTAGAAGCACAGATGAAGCAGGCTATTTCGCTGCTCCAAAGCCTCGGTTGGGTACTAAATCTAGAAAAGTCGATAGTAAAAGCTACGCCAGAGATAGAGTTCTTAGGCATAAGATGGAATACGGTTACAAACAGAAAGGTCTTACCGAAACAAAAACGGGATCAGTTGGCAAGAAACCTTCTACAAATAATAAATGGCCGTGGTTGGAATTGGAATCAAGGCACGTCGTTGATAGGCAGACTGGGATTCGCATCTTTAGTGACTCCGTTTCCTCTAAAAGCCATTACGTTGTCAATAACCACACGTGGCATTGGATTGGGAATATGTCATCTAACTTTTATTTCAATATCATATCATGAGAACATTCGTGTCCCATCCTGCTATTCTATGTATTGGCATATAAATCGAAAAGAGCTGTATGCAGTTTTAATGGCACTGGTCAAATTTCCAGATGTGTTAAAGGGACAGTCGGTTATGGTTCAGTCCGACAACCGTACAGTTGTAGAATCAAGGTGGAACAAGCTCATTGATACTGCTGGATTCGACAAGAGAATTGCTTCTCCTAGCCCACCGTCTGAAAATAGACCTGCTCCCATTTTACATCCCAGGCCAGTACAACACATTAGCAGACTCGCTCTCTCGAGGAAAGGATCTCCCAGACTGACATCTCAGCAAAGAGATAATGACGGTCATATTTCAGAGAATGGGCACACCTCTTATAGATCTGTTTGCGACAAATCGGTCCAAAGTAGTCCCTCATTATGTATCAATAGATGCCAAGGACCATCAAGCGTTATTTGTGAACGCCTTCAGCAGAGTGTGGCAGTTTCAGTTGGCTTGGATTTTTCCACCTCCACCTCTGATTCCCAAGGTTCTACAGCACTTGGATCAAGCCTCGGGAACCTTTCTAATGGTTGTACCACGATGGAAGAACGTGTTTTGGAGAGGAGACCTGAAGAGGAGGTCGGTTGGAGTACCGTTTCAAATTTGGAACCTGGACCGGCATTTGATAGATCTGTCGACCAATCAGCCCCCTCCGGGAATGAAAGGTCATCTTTAGAGGTTTGGAAGGTACGGGGTGGAGTCAACTAACTACAGGACTTCAGTTGGAAGATATCGCTCTACTCCGATCCGCATGGCGAGACTCAACGTGGAAAACCTACAGTTCATCATGGAAACAGTGGACTTCGTGGTGTAAACAACAAGGGGCAAAACCTGACCGGCCTCGTCCACAGGAACTTGCTTCATACCTGAGTTTTTTATTCAGAATTAAAAAATTAGCATACGCAACCATTTTAGTACATAAGTCGGTAATAGTCACTCTATCGATCCCGAGCAAGTTAAAAACTTATCTACACATCCACTAGTGACATCAATACTGAAAGCAATTAATTTACGGAAGCAGGCCTCCATGAGTCCTAAGTCCAAAATATGGAATATTCAAGACCTCTTAGCCTGGTTAGAGACTCATCCACCTGATAGAGAGAGTATCTTTCAAGTATCGCGTCATGTGGCTTTGCTACTGCTGTTAGCGTCAGGAAGAAGAATTCATGATCTAACTCTTTTAAGTATCTCTGCTGAGAATTGTATTATTTCAGAGAGATCGGTAACATTTTGGCCAATGTTCGGCCCTAAAACAGATGGCACAAGAGGTCGCCAATCAGGATGGTTGTTACATAAATCAGATAACCGGACTTTTGATTTAGTAAGCTGGGTTAGGAGTCTTATTGATGTCACGTCTGTCAGACGTAAATCTCAAGATGGCTTACTCAATCTCTTTATAACTACAAGAGGAAAGGTGAAAGCTGCTTCCAGAGCAGTGATAGCGGGGTGGTTAAAAACTTCTTTCAATGATATAGGAGTCAATTGTACGCCGCGTTCAATAAGGTCGGCGGTTGCGTCATACGATTATGCAAGGGACACTCCTTTGGATGAGATTTTAAAGCGTGGGAATTGGAGAGGGTCAGCAAACTTCTTCAAGCACTACTGCAAAGCAGGGGGTCAAGTCTGCTAATTTTATTTAACTCACATGCTATTGAAATTCAATTGAGATTCAATCACGACTCCATTACGATTAGAACAAATTTGGTATTCTGCAAAAACATGAATGGAAACTCAATTGAGTCGTAATGGAATCGTAGTATTTGTAATTGACTCTCAGTTGAACAGATTGAAGGTGTTGCCATTCAAAATCTATCAAGAAGCTGAATGAGTGAATGAACTATTTTTTTAATTTAAATATACGTTTTTATAATTTTCTGTTATTAAATAACGAATTACATTGTCGGTAATAAATCGCCTTGACAATAAAACATGACTTAACGGTGTTAGAAAGAGTTTATTTCAAAGGTGGTGGCTGTATTACATAGTTATCTATGCCAAGGTTAATAATTTAAAATAAACGTCTGTCATCTGGCACGTCAAACGTCAAGTCCATTTGATTTATTGCTATGTCCATATTTATTGGGTGTTGGATATTAGTATTTCAAATCGGTAAGTACTCGCCAAATTATAATTTTCTATTGTTTATGTACCTACGTTATACTGCGCTTTAATATTACAGCACATTTATTGTTTTCTATATTTTAGGCTAATAATATGAGCGTCACACAAACTGAAGCTCTAGTAGACTTCTTAGAAGAGCATAAGGAGCTAGCCCTTGGACGCTGCTCAAGAACCAAGGAAGGGCGCAGTCTGTCGAAAAGGCTTTGGCAAGAGTGCGCTGAAGTTCTCAACAGCGTATCTTCAGACTGCGTCCAAAAGACAGGAGAGCAATGGCGCATGGTGAGTAGCTACATATATAGAACAATGGCATTCGTTACTTGTTTATGTTGACGTATAATTTCATAAATTTAATATCTTATTTCTAGTTCTACAATGAGTATAAACATCGCCTTTTAAAAAAAATAAAAAAAGATAAAAGTGAAACAGGTAAGTAGTATTTGCAGGTAATTTTTTTTATCATTTTGTCAATAATTTACTTCTTCTTTATAGTACATTTTACTTTTATAAGGAGGAGGATCAATACCTAAAATAAACTTAACGCCCCTTCAAGAGAGGCTTTACACCATTTTGGGGCGTGATGTAGGCGAACCTCTACCAGGAGTTAGGCATAACCCATTTATTGTAAGTTTCCTTCCTTTCATAAAACCATTTTGTAATCTTTGGATTCTTATTATTTCTATTGTGTCTATGGGCAGAGGCAATTGTAAAATTTAACCATGCATGCACTTATACTTCTGTTTTGTTCATTGCACTGCATGTTTTATTTTTTCATTTTAACAGCCAATTCAAAATGAAGGTAGTAGTGCTACTGCTTCATATCATGATGGCGTGAATGTTGTGTGAGTTGTATGGCTTTTCTTTTCTTCCTCATCTATGCTAAATGGTGTACTTATAATGCATTTTACTATGTTTGGCTTATTCTGTATCTATACTATAATTTTAAAGATGTTCAGCAGTGAACATCTTCCGGCTGTTAATGATGATGATGATGACTACATTTTTAAATGCTTATGCTTAACTCAATGTGCTAATAACTTGGGGCTCAGGCGCAAAACGTCTCTTTCGCAAAATGTCCCATGGTCGTAAAATGTCTCTTTCGCAGAATGAAGAGACGTTTTGCGCCTGAGCCTTCCTAAAGCAGTGGTTTCCAAACTTGTTCGACGAAGGGCAACAGATTTCATTTCTATATATAGGGAGGATTAGAACAAAATAAATACTTTTTTCATTCTATATAGATAAATACTTGGCAAATAAATTACTTATATTTTCCACAGGACCTATGAAGTTTTACAGAATTTGGAAGACAGTCCTGGGTAATTTTCATCCCTTTTTATGATTTAATTATCTTAAAAATACTTAATATTTTAATATTACATTAAAAATACTGTACTTTTTAACATGATTTTTACTTTAATTTCAGATTTGTACCAATGGAGGTTGAAGATCCACTAGTAAGCTCCCTGAGAGAGTGTGAACCTGCAGCCCAAAGCTTAGCCTCAAGAGAGCCTAGTTTGCAGCTTACTGAAGGCCAGCAGACTGAGCCTGCGGCCTCTCAGACTGAGCCTGCAGCCTCTCAGAATGTGCAGCACCCCAACAGTCTGCTCCACGGCGACGTCGTCGTCGGCGTCAACAAATTACTGGCAAGTAACTACATATAACTAACTATTACTAATATACAATATGTAGACTATGTGCATTTTGTACCAGCTTATAATAATATACTAATATGGTTTTTTTTTAGAAATTGATGACCAGGACGCGGCTTTGAGGAGTGCTACAGAAACCCTGGCATCGATAGAAAATGTTAGTGCACAAGCCACAAACAGGCTAGCCGCTGCTATAGAGGCCTTAGCGGCAAGGCTTAATGAGCCCATACGTATAGTTTTGGAAGATTCGCGTACATCGCAAATGGTGAATCAAATGTTAAATTTTTTTACTAAGGCATAATTATTGATTTGCAATTTTTTATATTAATATATCTTATTTGTTTTCAGGTACACCATAGAGGGAAAAGAACCCGCATAATCTATTCCGATAGTGAATAAATTTTTATTCACTATCGTAATAGATTATTTTTATAATTTTTCGATTAGAATTAGGTTTTCAATATTATTCTGTAGGTTATTAATATATATGATTAGATTAATAATTAATAAAAAGATTTAAATACAACTTTTTTTTTATTAAACATTAATTATTAGTATGATCCCTCCACAATCTCTCAACTAGTGCTCTTTGTAACAGTCTTCCTCGATGGAGATCAGGGTTAACACGGTGGTTAGGTTCCAGTTCCAGTCCCTGTGCTGATGCTACACTAATTTCTCTTTCAATCTGTAACAATAGTTATAATTTAAATTATCGTCATCATCAGCTTAAGAAACGTTCCCATTACTGGGGCACAGGCCTTTCATCATATTAAGAGAGTACAGACTCCACCAGCCAACGCAGACTAGCAAACTTCACATGCCTTTGAAATTGTTCTCCGACCTCCAATTATATTCATAGCTAAATCAGTAACTGCCTATTCTCTTCAGTGACCGCACCATGACAAAAAGGTATGGAGACTTACTTGATGCTGCCTTTGCCTCTCTGCAAAGGCTTCTTCAGGTGTGAGATGTGGAACAGGTAGTCTATTTTTATTTGCAATATTATGCAACACACAGCAAGCATTCACTATTTTTCCAGCAGTAATTGGATCGTAGTGCAGGGCCCTCGCAGCTAGCAGGCATCTAGTAAATAACAATATGCTTTATCACCTTGCATCATCATTTATTAATTGTGAATTTATATTAATTTAAATACAAAACCTGAACCGAGCTTTTAGTACTCCAATGCAGCGTTCTACCGTATTACGGGCAGTGACATGGAGCTGGTAAAAGTGATGTTCAGGAGTGCCCTCTACTGTATTCAATATTGGGGTCATCATATTAGTCCGTAAAGGATATCCACTATCACCTTTAAAAAGAAATGTTTAAAAATTATATCAAAACTAAGTTGTTCATTATTGGAAGTCAATATTAATATAATATCTTACCCAATAAAAATACATGTTCTCCAGCATTACATAACTCTCTCATGTGATTCCAAATAGGACTACTCTGCCATACACTAGAGTCATGGGCTGACCCGGGACTGCTTGCATCCACATACAAAATGTTTAGTTCAGCATCACAAATCTGTAGAAGATACCTTAAGTTGTTTCAAAATGAATGTTATTGCTTATTGGTAGGAATCATACCAATTAGCAATCACATACTACTAGACTACTCTCTGACTGTTTTCAGTCATAGTGGCATATCAATGAAGATCAGCCACATACGCAAGAGATAATCTAGTGCACTAGTGTGTGTGCGCAAATTAAGATATCTTACAATCATAACATTAAGGGAATGGTATCCCTTTCTATTAAAAAATCGCTCCTCATGTTCAACCGGTCTCAGGATGGCTATGTGGGTGCCGTCTATGCAGCCTAATACTCCGGGAATCCCAAATTTATAGAACCTACAACATAAAACAGTTACGTAGTCATAGTAAACACAAATAAGTAAATGAAATACCCCATAGTAAGAAGCCTACTTACTGTCTCTTAATTTTATTTCGGTCTTGAACATCCTTTGGCCAGATGACATATTGCAGGAGGATGCTATTGAGTGCTTCAGTTACTTGCCTCACAGCCCTTGAGACAGTGGTCTGAGACACACTCTGGCCAACAAGTGTCTGGTACTGTCTGGTACGAGCCTGTGGCATAGAATGCCAGAGCAATAAGTATCTGCAATCGAAGTTCTACATTACACAACCGTCGCTTAGGTACCTTTACTAAAGAAGAGGCCTATAATACAATATATAAATACAAAACCAAGAAAAATATAGCACTTTACTAACCTTTAAATTGGGTGTTATTGCATCTTTCCTCCGTTGTCGTGGTAGCAAAGGTGTGAGCTTAAGAGTTAGGGCCCTCACTTCCGCTTTTCCAAGGCGGAATGTTTTAATAAACTCCGTATTACTTAATTCTTCCACGGCGGATACCGTTGCCCTTATCGAGGCCCGCTTTTTACGGCGCTGAGCCAAAAGGTAACGACGGCGATCTTGCGTACCTATTAGCTAATGCTAAAATACGCCATCGTAACAATGACCGCAGCATCTTTTCAATATATTTTGTCAAGTGGTGGCTTGCAAAATAATCTAAATATCGATTGTTGCCTAATCGTACTACGATCGTACTTCAATTGCAAAATTGACACTGAGTGTCCATTGAAATAAATGTCAAACAAACGTTAACTAAGAGTAGAATACCGATTTAGACCACAATCGATTTACAATTGTAATACGATTGAAGAGCAGACTAGCAAATATTCCGATAGTCTTAAATTAGTAGCAGAATACCAAATGTAGTTAAAACTGCTACTGAGATTCAATTGATATTCAATTGAGCCTTACGTAAATTAGCAGACTTGGGGCCCAGTTGAGAAGCCTACGAGGCTTATTGAAAATAGGTTAACCTTTTGAACGCCAGAGCAAAAACGCATGAACTTGCCCTCAACGCCAGGCCACAAATTCACCGCAAATACCTACGAAAAAAATAGGGATTCCAAAACTTCATCGATAATCAATTTTATTTTCATTTTCGTCTTTAATTTCGAAATATAATGTCCTTATAACATTGAAATTTAATTCAACATTACATTTCTTCCTATTAAAGTAATAGTTATACACTATTTACAGACTTGTATAATACCGTAATAACAGATATGAGACTACAATATATTTAAATATAATAACTGTAGGTACAACACTATTCTTGATCTGCTGTCTTCATATTGTGACCATGGCGTGGACGGCCCGCCATTTTAATAACTACTTCGCTTCCGAAATAAGGATGTGGCAACGTAATATCTCGTTTATCGATGAGTACAATATTATTTTATAATAAATGAAACACGTTTTTTAAATCAGATTTATAATTCCGAATGTAACAGGTACTTAAAAATATATGATTGAAATAGGTTAAGAAGGTAAATAAAAACTATGAAAAAATAGAAAATTTTAATAAAATGTTATACAGTAGGTATGTACTATGTATACATGTTTTTAAATATTATGTTCTATAAACCTGGCATAAAAAGTAACAAATTAAAACAATTAACGATTATATATAATTATCACAATTACCAATCAGTCTTATACTAATAAATCTTTTGAATAATAGAACAAAATTATACAAAATCTACAATGCAACCTGCATTCTGATCATCTAATTCGCTGGGTGCAAAGTGGGTGGTGGGGACAGTGAAATCGATCTCAGCGCGCACCGTGGCTAAAAAAGGAACTTTTGGCAGACTTTATTCCACGAAGTTCTTCCGTAGTCATTAAATTCCCACTCATTATAATAGTCACTGAATATAAATCTTGAACTCGATATCACAAGTAAATTAATCATAAATATTATTCATTCACTTTACTAATTTCTGGTCGCCGCGCTTGTGACGTCACGATATTGTCGTCTAGTCGTGACCATGGCGTACAGGGTACTGATAATTCGGGTTGCGTTAGGGATGCGCTTGAGTTGGGATTAGTGAATATCGAAATTCGACCCAACCAAATTTTATTTTTGACTATGTAGCTTATAGAATGATTTTTAAGACTGGTTATATAAAATTAATGCTGCTTTATCCTAGTACCAAATTATACCTAAAATAATATATTCCAGAGGAAAGTTACGAATCGATCTTTGATTTGAAATAATATTATCCAACATGCGCTACATCACTAGCGGTCACGCAGTTATGACTCTGGCGTGTGAGGACATTCTTTTTTCAGAGTTTATTTCTTTCTTTTTAACGTAAAATTTCTCAATATTTATAATGCAATTTAATTAGTTTTATGGAAATAAAGAAATTTTGGACCTTCTATTTTACAGGTATATAAATAAATAGGCATTAAAGTAATGTTTAAATAGTTTATTTCGTGTTTTAATGTACCGCTGTTTTTGTCACATATTTGTGTCGTTGGCGCTCAGGGACAGTTTTCGCTTGTCACGTATTTGTGACCCTGGCGCTCAAAAGGTTAAGTAGATCTTTCGAAGCAGTTTAGTACATTCCTTATAAATATTATTATTAGTGATTTATCAGAAGACATAACCTTCAAATTATCAGTCGATTGATGTAAAATGTGAGCAAGTGTAAAAGGATAATAAAGAACTGATTATTTCTGAATAATTATTATGTTTCGATTATTTTGTTCCTACTGAAAATATTCAATAAACAAGATTTAAGGTCACAGTACGCTGGTCACACGGAGCCGGCACATTATAAACACTTCTCCGAAAGGTCAAGCCGAAGGCACAGAACTGAAATACTACCGTTTTCTACCCTGAAGGGAGGAAAACGATTATTTCAGGTATTGCCGAGGCTTGACCTGAGCAATGCCTTGCCGACTCTTTCGGAAGCGGTACTAAGGAACACGCGGGAAGAGCGCGGGGCGACGGGAGCCGTCGCCGCCGCCCCCCGCGCCTGCGACCCGCGTCGCTGCAGCTCCACTCATTCATAGATGAAACTACGTAGGTAAGGGACTTTTGTGTGCTGTAGGGATGAAAGCTAATCTCCGAAAGGTCTTAGATTTGATTGGATCTCTGAAGTTATTTTCACAAAAGATACTTGAATTTAGAATTACATTTTTTTCAAAATGTATGTAAGGCATGGACATTCATTATTTTTTCTGTGGTGGAGTTAAATTGTGATTTTGTTAATATTTTAATTAGATTAACAAGAACAAAAGAGAAAGTGTTTCTAATTTAGTTGCTTACCAAGATTGCATATTTTTTTTTAATTCAAGTATGGTTAAATAAAAATATATAAATCTTATCAGTTGTGTTATCATTTCATATGCAACCATATAATAATTTCCTTTTTGTTTGTTAAATACATTCGCTAAATATTCGCATCGTTTTTTGCGAATAGGAATGCGAATACGAATATCGAAAAATATGCGAATATTGGCGAATGCGAATATTCGTTACATCACTAATATTTATATTTAGAAAGAAATATATATATAATGTACATAATTATTTATTTTTATTTATTTACTCAATCCGCTACTAGACAGTTACTACTCAATCCGCTACCGACGCCGCAGCTGACAAACATAGCATTTCATGATAGGGTTCAGTAAAGTATTTTGCGGGTTTTTGACTGAAAGGAAATTGATATTGAAAATCTGTCATGGGCCATAAACCGTATACATATAAATTGAACACGCTAGCCACTCAAACGAAATGTTTTTTTTTCTTCGGCAGTGGTCAGTTAATGGTTCACTCTGTTATGATTCCGTGGCCTTATAACAAAAAAAAAAAAAAATAAAAAGGAAATAACAAACAAAAAAATAATTATAAAAGTCCACAATAAGCTTTATTATATTCCTTGAAATCGTCTATAAACATTTATTACAAAATACGATCTGACAACTAAATGAAGAAATATGCGTTGTGTATGGTCACATCAACAAAATCACAGGAATTATGTAGCACAATCTCACATCTTTGAACTGATTTAATTTGGTTTGGGCTGTGTTTTTGATATAAGACCCCATATATTTTTTTGTTTGTCATTACAAACAATGACTGGTTAAACGGTTTAACCAGTCTTTGGTTGGCATTGTGTGTGAGTTATCGTTTGTTACCGTTCCTTTTCATTCGGTTCTTTCCAACGACTTTGACCTGGCATTCTTACTGGACACTGATATCTTCTCGGAAACTCTGCATTGATTATTGAATTCGGCTATCACACTGGACTTTTGAATTGCATCTCGATCGGGTTTTAATTGTGATGGAAGATCATCGCAACTGTGTCATGTGTCGGCGAGGCCTATATCGCGGAAGATATCAACAACACGTCCTGTCAGAAAATCTTCCAAGAGAACAGCCAGAGGTTGCTGCATATATACAACAACATTCAGTATTGGAGGTGAGTGTAGTGTGTATATCTATCATTGTTTTTTTTTAGAATCAAATCGGTTACATTTTTGCATGCGGCCTGCACAAGGGACAACTTTTAAAAAAGCCAATATATTAAAGCTATATTTTTATGGCGCCTAATATAAGATACTGTAGGTTCTCACTATTTTTACAGTGTTCACATATTTTAAATACTCTTATGTTTAAAGCTCCTAGTATCTAATCTAAGCTGGCTACATTAGGATACCGTGCAAACTCGATTTAACTTCAAACTCCTACAATGTCGTTACTTGACGTTGGTCATAGAATTATAATTATTCTTTCTTTAAACGAGTTATTATAATTGCTTATTTTTATCATTATCAGGTGGTGTTCGACAACACACGAAGCATATGCCATAGATGCTGGCAGAGAGCTGCAAATGCCATTAGACCACCTGTTGAAGCGGTAGTGCCTGAAGCACCTGAAGAGAATGAGCAAAATGTTCATGTACTTCGTGTACCTGAATATATGAGAGCGCCAAATAACCATAGGTATTGTATTTTTAACAACTGTGCTAATAATACCCGACACAGAATACCTAATGCCATTAAAGTTCACATCTTTTGTGTCTACAAGCTATATATACCCGATGGTGCCAGAGTATGCAGAGAACATCTTGAAGGCAATAACTGGGATGAGCTGCCAGATTTTTGTAACACAACTCATGATTTTAATGCAGCCCAGTTTAAAGATGTTTGTGACATGCTACTAGGGTTTGCAATCCCGCAGCACATTCAATCCCGCGGGATTGATATGCGGGATTGATCAATCCCGCGCAAGATCCCGCGGGATCACGCATCTTTAAAATTTTGTTATAAAATCGAATTGAAACTACAGAGATTTATTTAAATAGTCAACTTTTATTACGAGCAAGCAAACATGTCTCACATTATGCAACAAAAATTGATTGTTTAAGAACAAAATAACAATTAAAATATAAAATTAAGTACCAGTAATTTAGTAATCAGTCTTACTAAACTTAGCTTTTAAATGTTTGGCATCAAAGTTTTGTTTAATTATACCGTTATACCCTTATATCTAACAATAGTTTTGTACTACTTTGTCTTATTCATAATATCACTAAAATCACAAAAAGTAATCAATAACAACAAAAACTATAACTTCTAATCAGTCAAATCACAACTTTCTCTTATCCAAATGACTAAATTTACTAACTAAATTTAAGGTACTATTACGACTGTGACTTTTGAAAATACGCTCTTAAAAAGCAAACGGCATTTATAATACTATCTCCAAGCCTGCTTCTAAGTGAACTACAAATAACTATATCCTGATGCCGAAAACGCTGAACAGTCATGACATATTCATAGGCAAGCGCCAGGTACTCTCCTCTGATACCATCGGACTCGAAACAT